GGACCTTGGACCCGGGCAAAGCGGAGACACCGTGAATTAACGGTACCACGCTGGACATTGGACCCTCATACGGCAAGGGCAACAGGGTCGAACGGTAAATTGGTGGACTTCGGACCCGCACAAAGAGGACGCACCGTGAACTAACGGTGCGGCAGTGGACCTTGGACCCGATCACGCGAGCTGGAAAAGGGAAATAACGGGACCATCACAGGCTATAAAAGGCGGCGCAAGCGCAGCACACGAGGAGTAATAGTGCGAGAATCAAAGCGAGTGCGTGTACCCGAGACCAGTAGCAAGTTAATCAAGTGCCGAGTACCAGGATCAAGATCGCAAAGTCGAGATGCCGAACGACTGAGAGTCTACAAGGCTGAGGCTTCAACGCTGAGATCCAACGGGTGCTAGGTCGTGGTTAAATCGAGCTCAGGGAGTCCTTGCGTGGAGTCTGCGATAAAGGTGGCTGGGCGAAGAGGTCGAACCGAGTTCAACCGGCTAGGCGATACACCTTGCCGACACAATCCGGACCAACTTAGGGAGCCTGCGATTAAGGTAGCTAGGCGAAAAGGCAGAACGGCGTTCTACCTGCTAGGCGAAACACCTTGCCGGTCCCGACAGTGAGGTTCCCATAACATCCAGAGTCTCGACGGAGCCGTCACGAGGCAGATACCAGCAAGCAGTCGACGACGAGGAGCGACGCCGCGAAGGACAGCGACGAGGAGCGACGCCGCAGAAGACGACGACGAGGAGCAGCAGCAGCTGAAGAGCCGCGAGGCTTGTACAAGGAATAAAGACAGTTACGATCCCAACAGAACTCTTGCGTTATTCATTGGTCAAAGGCAATCACCCAATATAAATTTGGTGGAACGAACCCATAACCTCTCTGAGCTAGCCGCCCGTTAACGTAGCGAGCGAGAATACATAGAAATCAGGTCGTTACAGGCCTACGAGGACATCATACAACACGTTCGTGACACCCCTTATCAAGGAAGCATCAGTAAGTTCGTAAATGAATTAAAAACCAGATCATCAAATGTACACAATAAATTAGAATTCGAATCAGATTCAACAGACAAGTCAATTTACACAAGTTCTTTAAAGAAAACAATTAGGGATTGTATTGAAAGAAAACTTCCCGATAGATTGTATAATTCCTTATCCAAAAAAGATAAAACAACACTTGCCAATTTAAAAGAAGCAGCACTGATTCTTGGTCATTGGGATGCAGATCCTTTTGATAATTATAAACCCGGGCTCAATGATAATCGAAGAAATTCTCAGAGGAATAATTCCCATTCTTATAGCTATCCAAGAAACAACAACAATAGTTATCCAAGAAAAATTCAATATTCATATTCAACAAATCCTCAAATCCCTTATTTGAAAAAAACTATGAAGAAGAATCAGTGACGTTAGGAGACACATTATTTTACATAAAATATGGTGAAAACGATATGGAAAAGGACAGGACCGCAGTAAAATGCCTTAGTCCACTATCAGTTAAAAAAGATATTAAAGAGGATAAGAAAGCATAAGAATGCCTTAGTCCGCCCTTCTCAAAGGATCAATCATTTAATTTTGCCATTAATTATGAATTAACTGAATGCAATGAATATAGATTAGAAAATTTGAACGAAGAAGAAAGAGAAAGTTTAAAGAAAGTTTTGTTTGAATATAATGACATAAAGTACAAAGAAACTGAAAATTTCACTTTTACAAGTACTATTAAACATTCAATACAAACAAAACATGAAGACCCAGCATATGGGAAGCCATACAAATATCATCAAACCTTTGATGAAGAAGTTAATAAACAAATAAATGAAATGATTGAACAGGGAATAATTCGTAAATCAAAATCTCCCTTTTGCTCACCCATTTGGACAAGTTTCCGTTACCCAGAATAGATGAGATATTGGACAAATTGGGAATATGCCAATATTTCACTACCATGGATTTGGCCAAAGGACTTTATCAAATCCGAATGGAACAAGAGTCAATAGCTAAAACAGCATTCTCAGCAAATCATGATCATACACGAATGCCATTTGGCATCTTTCAAAGATGTAGGAACAACTTATTAGAAGATTTAACCTATAAAGATTGTTTGGTATATCTAGATAATAATAATATTCTCTACTTCATTGGAAGAACATATTTTTTCATTGAAAAATGTATTTAAAAATTACGTGATGCAAATTTAAAATTACAACTAGACAAATGTGAATTTATGAGAAAAGAAACAGAATTTTTAACCACATAGTAACTACTACAGGTATAAGTCGAATCCAAAAAAGATAAGTGCCATATCAATTTCCCAATACCATAATACACCAAAAAAAATTAATTCGTTTCTAGGATTGTGTGGATTTTATCGAAAATTCATACCTGACTTTGCACATATTGTAAAACTAATGACAATGAAATTTGTAACGATCCTGCTTTGCTGAGGTAGTTCAACGGTGTCCAGGGGCTCGTTCCAACATTTATTTATGTCAGGAGTGGTTGCTGTAAGAGGTCGGCCCGGTTCCCAGAGTATGACACGTAAGCGGGTTCAGTGAAATCGAATCGGTATGCGTTTATTAAAAATTATTCGTTACATAGGATATATAGATATATATACAGTTCGTGCTGCAGGGGCTCGTCCGCCCGTGGGTTGCTGGGGTCTTCTGTGTCGTCGTTCGGCGTCGTCGTTGGGCGTCGTCGTCCCGGTGGCGGCGGCGTCCGCGGCGGTGGCGGCGGCGGGTACCCTGTGGATGAGAAAGGAAAAGCCACGTCCCTCTTGGCTATGCTTATGTCTAGGAAGATAAGACAGTTTGGAGGCCGCTTGGGTCTACCAGTTCCGAGAAGAGGGTGGAGTCGCTTGGGGCTACCAGTTTCGAGAAGAGGGTGGAGGCCGCTTGGGTCTACCAGGGAATGAGAAGGGTGGCGACCACGAGGGGTCGGCCTCACCGATCTGATCGGTCCTAGTCCGGGCACGCAGGGCCGGTGGGCCTCGGAGAACCGAGTGGTGGTCAGGGCGCGTTGCGGACCGACGCAACCCGTGTGAGAACCAGGTGGGATCGGTTCGGCAGACGGCCGAGGAGCGCCTCGGAGGACCGAGTGGTGGAGTCCCCAGAAGATCGGGTGTCACTAATGACGGTCGGTCTTGGGGTGTGGGATCCCAAAGGTCGGTTATCACTGATGACGGCCGGTCCTTAGGGTGTTGGGAAGAAGGGGAAGGGGGGGGGAACAACTAACTACAATGTATTGGGTGGACGGGGTACTAGACCCTATCCCGAAAAAGACTCCGCAGTTAACTCCCAGAGAAGTTAGCTCACGCCAAAGGGTAAGCCTTACCTTCTCCGATCGCCGTCGGCCGCAGAGTCATCTGTCTGGGCCCCGGCGCTCTTTTTATATCCTCCCGGCCCTCGCCAGTGTGACTGTAGTTTCATAATCCTACAGCCATGGCCATACCGCGTGTGGCTTGTGGTGGCTATTGGTCAGTGTGACCGTTTCCTTTGTTTGGCGCGCCCGCCCGGATATTTAAATTTGAATATTTTCATTTAACTTAAATTTATTTCGGCTTCTTGCCTTTGAACTTATAATTATTTCGGCTTCTTGCCTTTTGGTATTGAACTTATAACTATTTCGGCTTCTTGCCTACTTAACGACTATCTATAGCTTATGTTATTATATCTACTTTGTGCGCTCCTGAGCGTCACACCTCCCCCCTCTTGCGAAGGCACGAAGTGTCTTATCGTGATGCGGCTTCCCCTTCCAAAGATGGCCTTCCACGTCTTCTGGTCGTCCTTCACTAGGATACTCTGCTGTTTTCCCTTTCTCCTCCTGTTCCATCTCTCTTTGATTTCATTGACCGCCCTGGCTGACATCGTCGCATCTCTGGGTACGATCCACCCCATATCGTTTGTGAAACACTCCACTCGTGGCGCCTGTGCGTCTGGGCGTGCCTCTGTCTCCTGGCTTGGTGTTGCTTCCTCTGCCTGTGCATCCGCCGCTTGTGTATCCATGTCCATCGGGTGTAGCTCCAGGATGTCCCGGTCTGGCGACGGTGTCCTTGCCCGTTCTTCCTGGACACTTCCGTCGGTCACTGCCTCCAGAGAGCTGCGAGGAACATGGGCGATCCGGGTCCGTCCGCTTCTATTGGTCGCCACGGCCGTTCTTGCTGGCGGTTGGGCTGTCTGTCGCTCCTCTGGTCGTGACTGCCCTTCTCTTTGTGCCAGAGCTAGCCTGCACATTGGTGGTCTGAGGTGAGTCGGTGCTGTCCTGACCCGTATGTCCGCCCCTGCTGGTCTCGCCGGTATCAACCTCGCCGTTCGCCTTTCTTGCTGCAGCCGTGTGCTGCTCTCCCGGAACTTCTTCTTTGTGGCGTCGAATTTGTTCATTTTGTTGTTTTCTGAAATTAAAAATACATCGTTTGAGTTACTTTTTGTTTCTTTCTTATCCCGGTTGGTTAGTTCATGGTTAGTGTCAATATACATTTTTACATCTCCGATGTATGCGCGTTTTGCTTTCTTCGATTTACAATTTTTTAATATAACTATCACCGGTGAACAAAATTTGTCTACTACCCACGGCCCGTCATATTTCGGTGCTACTCTGGCGATTATCCGTTCACGAAATATTTTCAGGAATGCCTCTGCCGTTGCGCTCCTTATTGCCGCGAGTTCAGTCCATTTAGAAAATCTATCCACTATCACTATTAGTGTGGTGTTTCCATGCTTCGTGCGCGGTAGAGGTCCGACGAAGTCGACACATACGGTTTCCCATGGTGCTTCGGTTATTCTTGTCAGCATTTTCCCTGCGGTTTTTTGTTGAGACAATTTGTATCGCTGGCAGCTCTCGCACGCCTTTACGAATTTGACAATGTCCTTCCGCATTCCGGGCCAAAAATATCGTTGCATAATCTTCCTCTGTGTTTTTAATATCCCCATGTGCCCCGCTGTTGTGTTGCAGTGGTTTTCTTTAAGCACCGTTTGAATCTCTCTTTGTGAAATGCACAGCTTCTATGGTTGTCTGTCCCTTTCTCTCCCGCATCTTTTGTAGAGTCTTTCTCCTTCTATTCTGAATTCTGTGATGCTCGGGTCTTTCTGCGCCTCCTCGTATGCCTCCTTCAACCAGTCGCCCTGACAATTCGCGGACTTTATTTCTACTGGTGGGGCCCTGGACAATGCGTCTGCTACTGCGTTCAATTTTCCTTTTCGGTATCTAATCTCGAATTGGAACGGTTGTAGTCCGAGCGCCCATCTGGCTACCCTCCCTGAAGGGCTTTCTATGGAGTTTAGCCATTTCAACGCTAGGTGATCCGTCACCACTACAAATCGGTATCCTTCCAGATACATTTTGTATTTGTTGATGCTCCAGTAGATTGCCAGGCACTCTTTTTCTGTGGCGCTATAGTTTTGCTCTTCCTTGCTCAGCTTTCGGCTTGCGTGTGAGATGACATGTTCCCCCTCGGCGTCTTCCTGGGTTAATACTGCTCCTATCCCCAGCTCGCTTGCGTCCGTTTGTAGTTTGAATTGTTTGGTGAAGTCTGGGCATGCTAGTACTGGTGCCATTGTTAAACTTTCTTTAATCTTCTCGAACGCCTCTTGATGTTCTGTCCGCCATTCGAATTTTTTTCCTTTCTTTACCAGTTCTTGTAGGGCGCTTGCTTTCTCTGTGAACCCTGGGGTGAATTTCCTGTACCATGATGCCATCCCTAAAAAGCTGTGTACTTCCTTAGTGCCTTTTGGGGCTGGTAATTCTCGAATGGCTGCCACTTTCTCCGGGTCCGTCCTGATGCCTCTGTCGGTTACAATGTGTCCCAAGTATTTTAGCTCGGTTTGGAAGAAATGACACTTTTCTGCATTTATCTTTAGGTTTGCCGCTTGCAACCTTCTGAAAACCTCTCTTAATTTCTCCAAGTGTTCTTTTTTGTTTCTTCCGATTACCACGATATCGTCCAGGTATGCGAACGCGAATGGCTCCATCTCTGGGCCTATGACCTTGTCTAGAGCTCTCTGGAATGTGGCTGGTGCTGTCGTGAGTCCGAACGGCATGACCTTCCACTGGAACAAGCCTCGTCCCGGTACTGTGAACGCTGTGTATTGTCGACTGAGACCTTCCATTGGTATCTGCCAATACCCCGATTTCAGGTCTAGCGTGCTTATGAACTTTGCTTCTCTTAGCTGGTTTAATATAAAGTCCATCCTTGGTACAGGGTAGGCGTCTTTTTCCGTTCTTTCGTTCAACAGCCGATAGTCCACACACATTTTCCACTCGTTGTTCTTCTTTTTTACCAATACTACTGGCGCGCTGTATGGACTGTGTGATGGTTCAATCAACCCTAGTGCTAGCAATTCATCCACTTGTTCATTTATTATCGCTTGTTGTTTCGGGTTCAGTGGGTAGTATCGTTGTTTTACCGGTCTGTCGTCCTTCATGTAAATTTTATGTGTCGTGATATTACTGGTTCCCTTCATTCCCTCGAATACTTGCCTTTGTTGTTCCAGAAATTTGCTGATTTCCTCCTCCGTCGGTTCCGTATCGTCTGTGCTCTGCTCGGGTTCTATTTCGCCTTCTGTTGTCTCTGCCTCGGTGATATCTAATTCCAGATTGCCGCATTGGATTCTTGTGCGTGTTTTGGCCAGAAAGTCTATTCCTAATAATATTCCTCCTGTCACCTGGTTTAAGATGAGGAAATCCAACTCGAATTCTTCTCCTGCGAACTGTATGTTGGTAGTAAAGTCTCCATCCGATCTTTGCTTTGATCCGTTCGCTAATGTTATTTCTGTCCTTTCCTTCCTCCATTTTCCATATTTTCTCAATTCGTTGTATCTTCTCTTGCTGATCACACTCCGTGACGCTCCTGTGTCCACTGTTCCTTTTGCTTTTACTGGTCCGATTTTTACCGTGGCAAATATTTGGAATCCGTCACAACTTAATTGTTCCCCTGTCGCTGGTATTTGTTTTTGGTCCTGAGCTACCAGCGTTACCTGCTCAGGCCTCTGGCGTTTCCCGTTCCAGCTCGGCAACATTCCGTTGTTCTTGTTCCATTTCTGCCGCATACCCAGCAAAACAGTCTTGGGGGGTTTGTGCAGGTTCTTGCGGCGTGCCCTGTTCCTCCGCATCTTATGCAGATTTCCGACGTAAAGTTCTGGTTTCCTGTTGTTATTGGTCTATTGGTTCCTTCCATAGTTTCAATTTCTTCCACTTCTTCTGCCAACCTCAGGAATTCTGTCAATGTTTTAAATCCCGACCGTCTCGTGTAGAGCTTTATTTTACTTCTGCAGTTTCTGTATATTCGGTCCAGCTTTGTCTCTTCTGAATACTCTGTAAATCTCATTATTTTCCTCAGGTTCATTGCGTATTCCCTTGTTGGTTCTGTTTCTCGCTGCCGTAGTTGAGTGATTTGTGTTTCCAACTGTTCCTGATATCTTGGTGGCAAAAAATATTCTAACTGTTCCTCCCTGAGGTCCTCCCATGTCCTTATCTGGCTCGGTGTGGTGTTCCACCAGTCCACTGCTACTCCTTCTAGGATGAATGGCATCGTCTGGATCAGGGCATCCTTGTGTATGCCGTAGCCTTTGGTCCATTCCTCCATCTTGCTGATGAATTCCAAGGGATTGGTTGCTCCTTGGTAGCGGATCCCCCAACTCCTTACTCGGTCTAAGATTTCCACTTCTACCTTTCTGTCCGGTATGTCTGGAGTTTCCGATTCCCGCCGTGGTGGGGTGTTGGTTTGTTTGACCCGTATGTCGATCTGGTTCGCCATCGTGTTGAGTTCCTCCGCTGGTGTGCTGTTCTGATCCGTTGCTCCTTTTTCCTTCCTGTGCTTCTCTGTTAGTACTCCTAGTCTTTGCATGATCGTCTCCGTGTGGTTTGGGTTCTTTGCGAATGCTGACAGTATCTGTCTTAGCTCCTCCACTTTTCCTGTTGTGTCTAATCCGAACTCTCTTGCGTACTTGATCAGATCCGCCTTAGTTGCTAGGTACACCCACGTCGACATAACTCTGTACCGATGTCTTTCTCTTTGCAACCACTTTAACCTGCTCGGGCGCCATGTAACGATCCTGCTTTGCTGAGGTAGTTCAACGGTGTCCAGGGGCTCGTTCCAACATTTATTTATGTCAGGAGTGGTTGCTGTAAGAGGTCGACCCGGTTCCCGGAGTATGACACGTAAGCGGGTTCAGTGAAATCGAATCGGTATGCGTTTATTAAGAATTATTCGTTACATAGGATATATAGATATATATACAGTTCGTGCTGCAGGGGCTCGTCCGCCCGTAGGTTGCTGAGGTCTTCTGTGTCGTCGTTCGGCGTCGTCGTTGGGCGTCGTCGTCCCGGTGGCGGCGGCGTCGGCGGCGGTGGCGGCGGCGACGGCGGCGGCGTCGGCGGCGGTGGCGGCGGCGGGTACCCTGTGGATGAGAAAGGAAAAGCCACGTCCCTCTTGGCTATGCTTATGTCTAGGAAGATAAGACAGTTTGGAGGCGGCTTGGGTCTACCAGTTCCGAGAAGAGGGTGGAGTCGCTTGGGGCTACCAGTTTCGAGAAGAGGGTGGCGACCACGAGGGGTCGGCCTCACCGATCTGATCGGTCCTAGTCCGGGCACGCAGGGCCGGTGGGCCTCGGAGAACCGAGTGGTGGTCAGGGCGCGTTGCGGACCGACGCAACCCGGGTGAGAACCAGGTGGGATCGGTTCGGCAGACGGCCGAGGAGCGCCTCGGAGGACCGAGTGGTGGAGTCCCCAGAAGATCGGGTGTCACTAATGACGGTCGGTCTTGGGGTGTGGGATCCCAAAGGTCGGTTATCACTGATGACGGCCGGTCCTTAGGGTGTTGGGAAGAAGGGGAAGGGGGGGAACAACTAACTACAATGTATTGGGTGGACGGGGTACTAGACCCTATCCCGAAAAAGACTCCGCAGTTAACTCCCAGAGAAGTTAGCTCACGCCAAAGGGTAAGCCTTACCTTCTCCGATCGCCGTCGGCCGCAGAGTCATCTGTCTGGGCCCCGGCGCTCTTTTTATATCCTCCCGGCCCTCGCCAGTGTGACTGTAGTTTCATAATCCTACAGCCATGGCCATACCGCGTGTGGCTTGTGGTGGCTATTGGTCAGTGTGACCGTTTCCTTTGTTTGGCGCGCCCGCCCGGATATTTAAATTTGAATATTTTCATTTAACTTAAATTTATTTCGGCTTCTTGCCTTTGAACTTATAATTATTTCGGCTTCTTGCCTTTTGGTATTGAACTTATAACTATTTCGGCTTCTTGCCTACTTAACGACTATCTATAGCTTATGTTATTATATCTACTTTGTGCGCTCCTGAGCGTCACAAATTAAAGAATGGTGCCATAATTAATACTAAAGAAAAACCCTCGGAAAGTCTTTTGAAATATTAAGCGATCATAAGCCTTAAGTGTGGCTGAAAAACATAAAAGAACAAAATATAAAACTACAACGACGGAAAATAATATTAAACGAATTTGATTATCAGATTAAATATTTGCCAGGACAAGAAAATTATGTAGCGGTCGCATTCAATTCGCTGCAGAGAGTTTCATCTAATCTGACGTGTAATTCGACGCTCCTCTTTCACACTGTGTTCTTTCGATGTTTTACGTATTTTGCCTAACTCGGTTGTCTTGTCAGTAACCCTACTACCTACATAAATACGTATTACATATAGACATTAAAAGTTAATGACGGTTTATTTAAATTAAAACAAGCTGCCAATTGACTATTTTTTTTATTGCTCTGCTTGGTCAGCGTTTACCGCTAATCCTAAAGTTTGGTGCTGTTAGTGACACTGCGCTCTTAGTGCTCACCGCGTACATTTACGCGAAGCTGCATTCGTTGCACTTGTTTCGATCGGTTGCTCAACGCTCACATCCGACCGCTCTCTGTACCGCTGCTGCTGCTCTTCAACGCTCACACGCTGTCTGCCTGCTGATGCTCTGCTGTTCAACGCTTACATCTGACAGCTCTTCACCCCGATGCTGCTTCAACGTTTAAACGGTATCTGCTCCGCTGCTGTTAAGCGCTTGCAACTGTTGACCAACATTTCTCGCTCACGCTCGAGGCTGATACGGATGCTTATATACTACACCCGCACTCCCCTGTTCTTATGTGCACAGTGACCTGAGAAATAACAAAAATGACCATCGCTTGCACTGCTAATAATGGCATTATTAGTGGCGATATCTTCCTCACCTGCTGGTTATGCGATAACTGTTCGGATGTTAGGTGTGCTGGAGCTGGCTTCAAAGGCCGTGTTGCGGATTTAATCACCAAACGAGTTGGTTTTACCTGGTCCTGCACGTCTTGCCGCGAGATGGCGGATGAAATGCGTACGTTCATGAGGCAAACTAGGACTGGATTTGTTGAAGTTCGTAAACTCTTCAATGCAATGAATGACAAATTCCTGGCAATTGAATCTCAGTTTCTTGGACTTAAGATTCTTAGCGAGTCACCGTAAAGAAAAATCCCAATAATAATCTTCAACTTCCTGTTTATGATTTACCATCCATCTCGACGCTAACTAATACTAATAATATGGACCTTTCGCCGAATTATTTAACACCGTCTCTGCCACTGGCTCTCTCTTCATTGTACTCCAAGCCAGCACAACTTTATCGACGGCCTGACGGACTTGTCTCTGGGTCAGATAAACTTTGTTAAAACCCATATGGATAGACTTTTTGACTTAATATTTGTTAATAACGACACCCTCGCAAATGTCCTCAGAAGCCATCCCTTTTCTCTGGCTAAAGACCCCTATCATCCAATCCTGTTGTTGAATGCCAATGCCAATTTTGTTGGCTTACACCAGCATTTGAGTGCTATCGATTGGTCCTTCTTAAAATCATGTAATGACCTAGAAACTGCAGTGTCATCCTTTAATTTGACATTGTAGTCGTCGATAAATCTTTTCGTTTCTGAGGTATCGGTAAGTGACCCTTCTCAGCCCCCATGGTTCAAGAGGCACTTGTCTTACCTCAAAAATCGAGGATGTATAAAAAATACATAAAATCCAATTCTGCGGTGGATTTTTCCAATTATGTCACGACCCGCGTGCTGTTTCTTAATGCTTCTAAGCTTTGTTATGAATGCTACATCGCTCAATGTAGAGAAAACATTCGTAATGATCCGAAAAACTTTTACTCCCTTGTAAACTTCAAAAAAAAAATCAAATGCGTATCCCTCAACTATGTATTTACACAACCAAACTGAATCATCATCTTTAGACATTTCTAATTTTTTTGCAAACTTTTTTTCAGTCAACCTACTCTCAACAATCCTATGACTTCTCTACTCCCTACCTTACGATCTGTCCTGCATCCTCCAATTGAAGTTAGCGATGTTCTTAAAGCCCTTCTGTCGCTGGAAACGTCCTATTCTGCGGGCCCTGATAACATTCCTAGCTCTGTTCTAAGAAACTGTGCCGAGCACAGAGCTTGTCTTGGCCAATCACTTTTCTATTTAACGTATCTTTATTATCTTCAGAGTTCCCGAGAATTTGGAATGAATCTTTTATTATTCCAATTCATAAAAAAGGTTCAAGGTCCGATATCGAAAATTATCGTGGTATAGCCAAACTTTCTGCCATACGTAAGCTTTTTGAGCAGCTGGTTACTTGTCAACTTCAACATATGTGTGCCTCCATCATCTCTCCCGCACAGCATGGCTTTGTAAAACAACGGTCGACTACTACTAATCTTCTTGAGTTTTCTACTCTCATCCACCGTAGTTTCCTAAATAAACTGCCAAACTGACGTTATTTTCACTGACTTCAGCAAGGCAATTGATTCAGTAAGCCATAGCCTTCTCCTTCATAAACTATCTCTTCTTGGTTTTCCACCTAATTTACTTAACTGGATTTCTGCCTTTCTTTCAAACAGAACTCAACGCGTTCTCTTCAATAATCAACTTTTCTCCGTCGTAAATGTTTTTTCTGGTGTCCCCCAAGGAAGTCATCTGGGGCCACTACTGCCACTAATGTTCTAATGATCCAAAAATAGTGTCATTTGCCTCTACTCTAATGTGTGCTGACGATGTAAAAATTTGCATTTCATTCTCTGACCAAATGTCATACCTTCGCCTACAGTCGGACATTGATCAATTACAATTATGGTGTTAAAACAATTTGTTTCTTTTTAACCACACTAAATGCAAATATATGTCCTTTTGTCGGACTTCAGCCCACTTTAGAACGTATTACGCAAGTAACTGATCAAGGTGTCCTATTTGATAGCAAGTTATGTTTCAAAAGTCATATATCTGTCTTCATTGGTAAAGCTAAGGGTGTTAACGCCCTCATAAAACGTTGGGCCAAGGAGTTTGACGACCCGTATACAACAAAGACTCTACATTTCTCAGTTCGCCCTATTTTGGAATACTGCGCATGTGTTTAGAGTTCTCAATATATTGATCAACAGTAATTAATCCAGTATATCCTGCAATATCTTTGGAAAATGCTATTGATCGGATATCATCAAACATATATGGTTTTCTTGAATCATATAATATTTAGTTAGACTTATTTTTATTATATATGTGTAAGTTAGCCGTTCATTGTTAACTATAAATCAATAAAAAAGAAGAAAGAAAGCAAACTTCGGCAAGCCGAAGTTCATATACCCTTGCAGCTACAAGTATTGCAAGAATTAAACATTTTTGAAAACATTTAAATTATGATTTACTTGCATATATGCTTACAAACATTGAAGCTATGATGATTTGCAGCTCAATAATTAGGTAGTTATTTTATATATATATATTTTTATTATTTTTATGGGAGCTATATGATATAGTCGTCCGATTTTTTCTGAAATTTAAACCGTAATTCTGAAATATTCAGCGATTACTATATCTCGAAGAAATAAAAAAAAATTAAAAAAACAGCAAAGCTATATTTTTTTTTATTTATTTTTCCGATTGTTCCTATGGGAGTTATTTGCTATAGTCGTCCGATCCGGCTTTTCCGACTTATATACTACCTGCAATACCAA